AACTTGAGCCCGGAAAACGGGCTTCCGAAATAACAGGTGTTCACTATCTACTTTCGATGACTACATCTTTTTATCATGTGGCGTGAAATATTGAGCCTATTTAGAAAGGGAGCACATACAAATATTGTAGAATAATGTTCATTCCTCTATTCAGAGAAATGCTTCATGTAAACAAAATAACGTTACAGTATATCTTTTTATGTATATTTGAGGCCATGACTTATATCAGTGAATTGCTGCAATTTGTGAATAATACCACTATTTACATATATTCGTGAAACGTTATTATTGACCTTGACCTTGCAGCTCTGAGCCCAACTACTACAAGTTGAAGAGCGTGTGCAACACCACTCGTACCATGGTGCACACCATCTATGCCATGGACGGTCAAGTCTGCCACGTTGTCCGCCCTATGTCCCAGAAAGTCTTCTTCGCCACATGCGGGTAGGTACACGGCTATGTTTTTTAGATCGTTCATATTTGTTACAAAATTCATACACTAAAGTATACAGACGCTACGACATTAAACAAATAATTGTCGGAGGAGTTTATATATTTTTAACTTTCCAAGGGAACTCAAAGGTAACAAAAAAACCTGCCTTTATTGTGCCCATGCATTATTTATATATAAATAAAATACTAATGTCAGAGGTTATTAACACGGCAATAATAACAAGCTACATGTCGTCACTTTAAGACTTCTAAAAAATATTTTTTAACCTCTCCGCTACTACTTGCATTACTAAATATGTCCTATTTGTTTTTTACAGAGGAGAATGTAACCTTGGTTACGACGGCGTGACCGGCTACCACTGCATTCAACGCGGCATCACCTACCGCAACTTCCTCGGTTACTGCCATCTCCCCGACCCCGCAACCTTCCCAGAATCTTCCCCCATCTACGCTCTTGACCCCTCCGTCGACAACTTCTACGACCCCCGTGTTGCCCCACCCACCCACCGCATGCAGCACAACCTCCTCAAGAGCGGGGGCCACTACAAACCAAAGGGCTACTTCACGGAGTTGAGCGTTACCCTCCCCAGCTACTGCGGCTGCAGGGGATATTTCTGCCCCCACGACAGGATTCTTTAGATGATGACTACGTTCATTTGGGGCCTAATACAATATGAACAGGGACCAATCCAAAACATTTTTTTCTACAAGCATTTCATTTAAGTAAGTTAAGACCATTATGAAAAGAACCAAAACGCCTTTTGAATTTTAAAACTCTTTCAAGTAAAGCGGAATTGCAGGAGTCCTTTGCATACAGGTGATCCTTTTTCAAATCATGCTTCTGTCATTCTAATATTCATATTTTCCGCACTTTTATACCACAATGTAATCTCGGTCTGAAGTTAGCAAATATGTTAATTGTAAATATTTTGCGAATTCCATGTAAATATTTACAATAGGATGTTGTGAATATGTATTTATATATTCCATCTTTGTACAGTATAAACTGACATCATCATTGCTTGTGCGCGCATGTATAATATGTACAGATATTAATATGTGAAAATAAAAGCAACATGAAAATATGAATTGTTTCTGTTTTGATGATTATTGCTTATTTAGGCCAATGGAAACAGCGCTATTATAGATGGTGACTCGCATTGTTCATATGCAAATCCACAACTGAAATACACCAATGATCAATCAAACCTGTGGTCGACAGTGTGAAAACCTCTTCACATCGCTTGTCTACAAGGTCATGACTAAACCAAGACCATCCCTTGCTGAACACCGTGTCCATCCAGTTCACACTTTACTGAGTGAACGCCGCTTTGAACATTATTTCAGTCATAAGACAACGCAACAGCTTGATATTGCAGCCCCAAAGTAGCAGGTAAATGACTTTTACCACTTTAAGGAAACCATCGTCGAACCAACGACCAGTGGCAACAAAGTGGCGAAACCGATCGAAGTGGGATTGGAACAGGATATTTCCATGTACATATATACACTTTGGCAATACAAGGGATAATACCACTGTTTTAATATTTGTTACAAGAGCTTCTGGCAAAGTCTTCAAAGAGGACAGTACGGCGGTGATCAAAACGTCATGAATGTCATTCGTGTCGAGAATGTGCCGGTAAATGCTTCTATAAAAATACAGCCATTTGTAATAAATATATTTTGATTGAGACGACTATAATGTCTCATCTTGACGGAAGTAAAGGCATCACCTCAAAACAGCTCATATATTATGTGATCTAAAACGGTAACCTATAGTTTGGGGGACATTTTGTACGGATTAGAGAGACACACACAATGATCCAAAACAAACCGAAATATCTGCCCCAGGTGATAAACTCTCACATTGACTGATATGAATACCGTCATCAATTATAACACATAGAAAATGATAACTTTCTGACATGTTTGACATTTTAAGGTTGTTTGATTAATCAGATGTATATATTACATCGTTGTCACGTTTTCAGGATCCACAGCCAGTGCCCCACATTGGATGTCGTCATATATGGAGCGGTACAGTACACAAAGGTAGGGAACAATGAATCGCAGGGAACAATAGATGCCAAACGTGTCAGATGAGAACTGGTAGGCAAAAAACAATCTGAAATAGTATTTGATGTATAATTATTGGCACACTCACACTTCGTTCAAGATGAAAACACTTTTCTTTTTGTTTGGGGAGGCAATGTATTCAATGGTCATTGCTCGAAGATGTTCTGAAATTGTCATTGATGATGGCTATGTTTTAGCTGTGTGGGATATTTTGTGGCGGAAACTAACGAAGATATTGTTATTGAATGTTCAATGTTCAATGTGATTTTGCCAATGATGATGAGTATTATTCACAGTTATATTACCATTGTTGAAGTCCATTGTTGGAGGTGTCCTGATACTATCTGCGATGATGGGTCTGTTTAAACTGTGTCGTGTATTTTGGGGCGGAACTAACAATGCTCGACACGATGCCCATCGCCTGCTGCTCATGTTCAATGTTACTAATAGCAAAAATGTGACATTGAGACATTGTCTTCGTGTAATTAGAGTAAGAACGTTTAACTGGACTGAACATTTCCAGATGGGTATTGCTAGAATGCCGTTTCGCCCAGGCATATACTCCAGGTTACGTTGAAAGCACTATCGATATATCGCTATACACTGTGATATCCTAGTATAAGATATGACAATCAAGCATATTTACACACACATTCGTGTGCTTTGAAATGAACTGTGTCATTCTATGTTCTCCAATGTCAACTGATTCACGATGTTTACATCATATTACAAGACACTTTGAAATGTTGAACGTTTTGGATTTTTGGGACTTAAAGTGTGTGTTTCGGTACAAGGTTGTAAGGTGTATTATGTACAATATCGATGTTATTGGAGAACGGGGGCATGGGTGGCCCAGTCGTCTAAGGCGATTCGCTGTGCAGAGTTGCGTCCCTTAGGCACGCCAGAAACCTATGATTGTGGGTTCGACTCCCGTTCGGCCCGATTATGATTCTAGGTTTGTCAGCACCATACCGGTGCTCGTTGGTTTCACCGAAGTGGTAAACGTCTGAGACCTGCATCACTTCGGGCTTTCCTCCCACATTAAGCTGACACGCTATGATATAACTGTAATACTGTTAAAAGCGGTGTTAAACCAGACTTACTCACTCACCATTGGAGAACGACAACCTTATACACACAGGCTACCAGGGATTACCTCTTTGTGTCATCGAATAACCATAGTATTGTCCAGGTATTATGTCAGGATCATTCTTTAACTGTGTGTTTTCAGTCAATTAAATCAAAACGAGTGAATGGCGTTAACACCACTGCGTGAAGATCAGGGTTAGACTTGGTCTTCAGGGGCCCATGCTTGTCGTAAGAGTAACAGGATCAGATCGGGCTAGTTGACTTGATTGATGCATGTCATTTATCCCATTTGCGTTAATCGATGTTCATGATCTATACTCGATTATCTAAAGACCGTATTGCGTAACAACACATGGACAAACAAACAGTTTTGGAGGAGAGCCCAAGTGACGCAGGTCTGGACGTGAACCATCATGAGCATGATGATGACAGTACTAGCAGGTGCCACAAGTAGGGGTTGATTTGGCTAATTGTACATCTACCAAGAGTTGACAAATTGACTCTATTAGAGTCTCAAATAGGCTGGCTTCAAGGGTATATGTTAACATCCAAATGCTAGATACGCTACGCGGGTGGTCAATCCGATGACCAACTGCTGTTGGCCGTGATCAGCTGATGATGGAGCAATGCACCTACGTTACTAACGCCTTGCAAACTTGCAAACAGAGATGTCATTGGCACCAGCAGCTCTCACTGATAAAGAGATATAGCACAAGAAGCAGAAGAATGTTGTGTTGTTTTTAGCTGGTAAAACCATGAAGTTATCATGTGAGGTGATATAAGTGAGTGAGTGAGTGAGTTGGGGTTAACGCCGCTTTTAACAGTATTCCAGTTATATCGCGGCGTGTCAGTATGTAATGTGGGAAGAAAGCCCAAAGTGATGCAGGTCTCAGACGTTTACAACTTCGGTGAAACCCACGAGCACGGGTATGGTGCTGACAAACCTAGAAACATAATTGGGGCGAACCGGGATTCGAACCCACAATCATAGGTTTCTGGCGTGCCCAAGGGACGCAACTCTGCACAGCGAATCGCGGCGCCTTAGACGACTGGGCCACCCGTTGAGGTGATATAAGGTAGAATTGAGTTAAACTTTGCATTCAAGATTATTGCAATTATAAAGCGACGCGTATGCACGTATGTGTGTGTGTGTGTGTGTGTGTGTGTGTGTGTGTGTGTGTGTGTGTGTGTGTGTGTGTGTCTGTGTGTGTGTGTGTGTCTGTGTGTGTGTGTCTGTGTGTCTGTGTGTGTCTTTATGTGTGGCTGCTTGTACTGGTATTTGTTTGTTCCCCGTTCGCTATCATGAGTCGTGTTTTTCGCAAGTAATGATCCAACAAACTCGCGTCAGGGTGACATCGAAGGTGAAAGGCAAACAACAAGTGTTATTTCAGTTTGTTTTATTATGCAGAAATCATTCTTTGGAAAATCATAGCAGAAAGCATACACGTATTATTCAGTGAGATTTTGTTTTTCACTGTGTTGGCACCAGAACATGGTAACAGGTATCTCGCGAACTCCACAATTAAATGTACACGTGATATACACTATAAACAAACTATTTACATGTGCGCGCATGATATATTTACAAATGATAATAGAAAATGGTAAAACAGATATTCTCTCACATTCTTCACAATCATAATCATTAAAAGTATTTTTGCAAGGTCGAAATATGCGTTTCATAAAAAAAAGTTATTTTCGAAGGTCAGAATAATTGCACTTGTTATATGCAAAAAAAACAGTCACAAATTAATTGATACAAATAAAAGAAACCAAATCGACAGGACATTTTCCGGCCTGTTCAACTATGTTCGAAACATTTACGTATGCGTAAATGTTTGTATTTGGCATGGCGTTGAGTCCCACTATTACACATGCGTAAAAGTACGACTTCGCAGAAGGAGTGTAAACCATGGTTTACACAAACTGATACTTGAGACATTCGTATTTCTTACAGCTGCATCCGGTGGGGATGGTGACGCGAGTTCTGCGGCACTGCTTGATCTCGCCGGGACAGAAGACGTAGATATCACGTTCAACCATGCCGTCGGGGACGCAGTAGTGGTGTTTCACCTCCGTGGTGTCCATGACGCAGTGACCTCTGGAGAAAAGAAAAGGGATAAAAAAAAATATGAAAAATAATACTTTCAACGGAGAACTTTGCTTGTCTCAAACAGCTCCAATAACAAGCCTCAAATAAATTCTAATACCGCCGCAAAAACTATGAAGGCCATTTTGACATTCTGAATAGTGCGTTATAGAATCAAACCCAAACAATGTAACGATGTATATTGCCTATATTGTTTTTTTATTATTCCCTAAATATAAATAAGAAAATAAGAACTGTGTTTATTGAACTTTTGTTTTAAATATTCTAAAAAAATCCCGACCACTCTAAATCACAAATACTGGTATATGAAAGCTGGACATGTTTGGTCAAGCTAATTGTGTGACGTACCCGCATTGAGCGACTTCAACTCCCTGGGCTTCAGGCATGATGACGTAGCAGACCTCTCGGCGCCCGTTCTTGGTGTTGGTCCACCAGATTCTCTCCAGGAGCTCGGTGTTCTCGGAACACAGATCCTTGTATCGGTAGGCGGGGTAGTGGCTGGAATATACCACAAGCATGGTTCAAACAGCTGCAGCATTATCATGATAGTATTGCGTTCTCGAATAAATAGCTGTGTGGCTGGAGTTTGACGACGTGCTTCGGCAAAAGTCGACCCATATCACGGCGGTTTCTCGGAGTCCGCGGATGTTTAATCACTGCGCCACTCTATCGCCCTTTATACAAATGAATCAGATGGAACATGACAGATGACATCACAAATTCTGATTTCTCACCATTCAAAGTGATAATCATACGTCATGCCACAGTGAAGAAGGCAAGAGACTTTATAACGAAGGTACTTTAGATGGATTTATGTAACAATGACCACCTTTGGTGAGTGATTGTGTGAGTTTAACGCCGCTTTGAACAGTATTTCAGATATAGTGCGAGGGGACAGCTTAATATGGGAGGGTGGCTCGAAGTGACGATGAAAGCCCCGATCACGGGTGATAACTAGTAGCTAGGGTGTATCATCTGTACCTACCCGGTGGAGTTCATCTTGTTGTGGAGGTAGCATCCCTGCACCAGCAGCATGTACTCCATTGCGTCGGGGTCCTGTTCCAGGGCGCTGAACACACGGTCACTGGAACAACCACGTTAACATTACTGTCAGCCTTCTCATACACTATGGTGTACAGACAACAGTAGAACTTACAGTGTGAACACACGGTCACTGGAACAACCAATAAAGCTCTTTGCAATTTCACCACATGGCATCTTAAACACGGGGGACCTAATGGACCCTTACAGATGTGACAAGCGATGGCATTTAAAACTTGGCTATGCTGTGTGATCGCCTGAACTAACTTTAGAGCATAAATGAAAATACTAAAGCATATTTTGGAAATAAGTATGACGAAAATTTGCCAAAACGACCAGAGCGTGTCTTTGAAAAGATTACATACACAGGGTATTTGTAGGACTTGTCGAAGCACAGCTTTTCCTTAGTTGGCCATTCGTACTGGGGGACGCCATTCTTGTCAAAGTAGCAGATTGGCTGTTTGGTCTTGGCGGAGAGGGCGCTGAAAATGCTGGAACCGTCACGGACGCGGGCACCAAACAAGGAAGATTTTCTGGATTTCAGGAGGCTAGCGAATCGGCTGGAGGTTGAGCCTCCCAGAGAACGCCCTCCGACAGGCGGTCGATTCCACGCCAAGGTGACGGCGGTGAGGGACACGAGAACGCATAATGTCACAAGAACTCTCTGGAAGAAATGAGAGAAAAGGATTTTCATGAAATTGGTAAAACTGTATGTTAATTCTTATTTTTGTTTTATTTTAGGATTTGGAATATGTCAAAACTATTGCCGCTACTGCTGTTGACACACAACTGCTTCTACTACTACTGCTACTTCTACCACTTCAACCAATATTTTTTCATAACTGTAAAATAATGTTAAATATAAACTCATTTAAATACTCAGCAAAAAACTGCCTTTAAAGACATCAGCATCGTACATACTTACATTACTACTACTACTACTACTACTACTACTACTACTACTACTACTACGACGACGACGACGACGACGACGACTACGACGACTACGACTACTAAAGTTTCTACTACAGCTACTACTAATACCAATATTTTACACTGCCTGCTGCGAACGATGTTTACAATTCAGCTACAAGATAATATTAGATAGAATATCTGTTAAAATACTGAGATCTTAATAAACTGCTTTGCAAGACATTACAATCGTACACAGTTTACAAAATATTCTACTTACCATATTTACAAACAAAGGACCTGTCTATATTAAAATAGTTACTGTAGCTGTGTACAGCGATGGCTGACTTGCTGGGAGCTGAAGCTCGCTTTTATTCCCTCTCACCTCGGAAGGAGGAGCATATTTCAGCCAATCAGAAGTGACGTTTTGCTTGAGTGCCTCTGACGTCACACGGCTACACTTCTTCCTTTGCATTACCTCATTGCTTGACAGTTACCCTGTTAATCAATCAAACTCGGTGAAATTTACAATTATATTTGACGCAAGCGATTAACAATAAGCAAGAACATTGTCCTTCGGACAAAGTCGGCAGAAGACAAATGTCATTCAATGCTAATTCCGTTAATCTTGTCGAGGGTTTCTGAGGTCGTCATAGGTATGACGCTGATGTGTACAAATACGCGTTTCAATTTAAATATGTCCTATCCAAACACTAGATATATTTGAATTTGTTTATTATTTGAAACATAAGTATTACAAATTTTAAAAAACAACAACTCCTCTTTGCTTCATATGTACGACTTGGTCTCTTTCAATGATAAACTGTGACATTTTCTTTACATGTGCTACATGGGCAGCATGTGTATAAAGAGTTTGTTTGTATGTACTCACTATATTTCATGTCATAAACACCAGACCGCCTCCGTGGTCTAGTGGTAGAGCGTCCACCCGGAGAGCGGAAGGTCCGGGGTTCGATCCCCGACCGCGTCATACCAAAAGACGTTAAAAGATAGTACTTGTTGTTACCCTGTCTGGCGCTCGGCATTAAGGGGCTAAAACAAGGACTGGTCGGCTCGAGTCAGTATACTGTGTCTGAGTGGGGTATTCATGTTAAAACTGCGGCATGGTATCACAGTGAGCTAGCACTATAAATCGGCTTCAGTCCGGACTAGTACAAGCAGCCACACACAAACACACACACGTACATGCACGTCGCTATATAAGTGCAATAACCTTGGACGCGACGTTAAAACCTCATTTCACCTCACCTCACCTCATAAACACCATAAGTAGGTAATAATTTTCAAATCAGATTAATTCAGATATTGTTGCAAGTGCTGAAACAACACATATACATATTGTGTAAATCAAAGAACAAACTCATAATAATGTACAATAAACTACGTTTATAACGAACACGCTTATAACGAACTGACGGATATAACGAACTTATTTTTTAGTCCCGGCCATTTGTTGTATATATGCTGTATGTATGATTATAACGAACTACGGTTATTACGAACTAAAATTAGTGGTCCCCTTGAGTTCGTTATAACCGTAGTTTACTGTAACAATATTCGCTCCCTTTACGTTTAACAAAAACTAACATCGACATATTTGTATGCATTACTATGTTTTGATAGTCGCTTAAAGGACCAACAATTAAATATGCATGTCCATTGAACTTTGTTTTGGTCAAGGCTGAAGACAAATTATGTTTTCTCAGCATTTTGGGAACAGATTTGTTTTCCATCCCCATCTCCGCCACCATCCCATATTTTCAAATATCAGGCTTCTGAGACTTTCTATCCGGGTGTACTGGTCACTTCCTGGACAAGACGTACAGGTCACATACGTCAAACTGACCACTGACGACATAGGTCATGACAATGTCTGACTGGTCAGAAACGACGGTCAGGGTAGATGCATTATGCATCCATTACGGTTGACAACTGACAAAGTGGTTTAGTTCTGACAGGTCACTTATTGTAACACGAGTCAGGCATTCTGATGAATGACAATCGCCATCCCCTAGTATCATCACTGTTCGATGTGATACCGTCGGAGTCACACACTCGACTCTGCTTTTGACACTGATTTCTTATGAATATGGAAAGGGTTGTGTCGCTTTAATTTATATATGCATTATATAATAATTTTGTTTTCTTTTATTAATTTATCCATTAATTAAACTTTCGCTGGTTTTTGTTGTGAGTATTTTGAGGTTCTTGAAAGAAAACATCTCTTCCAGCAATAGTATTACTCATTTATGAATAGTGACAAAGAGGTATTGTTCGTAATAATTCTTTTACTTGTACATAAATCAACACTTTACATTATTTTATTAGTTTGCTTGGTTGTTTTTTAAAAAAAGTATTTTGAGAAAATTATAATTTTACTTTGAATAACAGTTGTTCTCATTTATGCACATACACAAATTATTTGCGAGACTGTTGTTGTATTCATTTGGTCATTAAGTACGTTGTACCCGCTTCATACAACACGTATAGGTTGGTGGGGACTAGTTATAACAAGGGAGATACTTGTTATAAAACAAAACCTTAAATAATAGTCATACTGATTCATATCAACAACAGTCTGCAACAGAGGCTGTACCTTCCGTAATAACTCTTTCAAGAGGACATACCAACTTATCATAGAAGTGCATATGTACATGTACATGTGGTTGTTTGTTTTATACACTTGGGCATAATTTCATTTTTTCCCATTTTTCATTCACGTCTTTTATTGCAAATTAAGTGAGTGGCGGGTGCTACCGGCAGAGAGAGTGAGTGAGTGAGTGAGTGAGTGAGTGAGTGAGTGAGTGAGTGAGTGAGTGAGGTTTTACGCCGCGTTTAGTAATATTCCAGCGACAAACGACAGGGGACACCAGAAATGGGCTTCACACATGTACTCATATAGGGAAACGAATCCAGGTCCCTCGGGTCGACGAGTTACCGGTAGATCATGACATCCTTACCCCTTTGAGCGATCACCTGGGCCCCCTTGCACCAAGTGATCTTAGCGATACGACTATTGTAAGCCCATGTTAAAGTATGGGAGTTACGATCATCTTAGCGCTAAGATCGGGCCTAGGTGTCATCACTGACTTCAAGTGATCGGTTCATATAATTTTTATGATTGTTGTGCCTTTTAGAATCTGTTTCGGCAGATACGCTAGACTAATTATTCTCTGGCGTTCACGTTTCATATTTTGATTATCAATGGTTTAATGATACATGTGGCCTCTCCTCATGTAACAAAATATAGCCTAACATTCATACACACATACGTTCTCGCAAACGCTCTTGTAAGAGTACATATATAACATTTATAAGTTATTAAATGACCTGTTATTTCATACATTTTGTCATTTATTCCATTATCGTAGTAATTGTTTCGTTTGTTTCTTATTTAGGACGTATGTATGTGTATATATCTTCTGATATAAGAGCCTTGCTCAGTCAATTCAAAGAAAAAGCCGTGGCGATGCGGGTTAGGATAAATCTTCAGCAACCCGTAAAAGGCAACCCGCTGCCGTAAAAGGCGACTATGCTTGTTGTAGGAGGCGACTAACGGGATCGGGTGGTCAGGCTCGCTGACTTGGTCGATGCATGTCATTGTATCCCAGTTGCATGAATCGATGCTCATGATATCAATCACTGGATTCTCAGGTCCGTTCACCTGGGATATTGCTGAGTCTGGTGTTAAACAACCAACAAACAAAAAATGAAAGAAAAATAACATCAACATATTGTGCCAGAAAATTATATACACAGAGTTGAACGTATGGGTTAACATACACATATATTCCTATAAATGGAATCATGGTCAACAAGTACACTCTTTATTGCATTTGGCAAAAACACGTGCATACATTAATAACACGTAAATGTCAATCGTAGATCCCTATTCTAAAAGTGATAACTGACGTCACATCCCCGCATTGATATAGCTCCATTTACATGTGCATCCTTTTCCCTCTTAGAATAGAGCTTGTCATGATTTACGCAAGCTAAATCGGTATATAACGTTTGAGCAAAAACTACATGATTTATGAGAAATACAAATGATTGCAATAAAATGTCTCAGAGAACCGCTTTCATTTCTCCTTAGTCATTGTCAGCGGTTTCGGAAAAAAACCACAACGACATATACTTGAACTGGGTGTGCCGATGTTGATTTAAAATGGAATCTTCCCACTCCTCTCCAATCTTTGCGTACATTTGTGAATGAAATAAAGACAAGGAACGTCTTAATCAGTTAACAACCCCCCCCCCCCCCCCCCTTGTCCTTACGTCACCTCTTCGTGTCAGAAGTTGTGTAAAACGAAATATCACTAGGTGACATTGCAAAATAACGAATGAATAATTAATGTCTCAAAAAGGTGTCTTTGCATGTATAATATGTCTTTAGGCTTAAAAATTGAGTGTTTTCTTTGACGGAAATGCAATGAAATGTTTAGATTCGTTAAAATTTGAATAAATGGGTGCAGTTGCCAGGTGTAGGAAAATGGTTTGCAGATTGAAAATTAATGCTTTTTGTACTTCATTTATTATTGAGATGAAACTTTCCGCCTTCCGAAATCGAGAGGATTCGTCATTGATGTAAACACGTACATACATTTATATGTGAGATAGTCAGTCACGAATATACCCAATGACACCTGTACATCTGAAAACACATGTTTTGGACACTGTAAGAAAAAATAAATGTCTCCATGATCAAAAAACCCATCTGGACTGCAATAACGTCAAAAACAAATTTATGACGTCATCATATTCGAGGACACCTAAACGTTAATTAATCTAACTGATTCCTCATAATATCAATCACAGGTTTGTCAAATTAAGATTCGTTTATTTACAGACGTATTTATTTACTGAAGATTTGCGCTTAACAACAACAACAACAACAACAACAACAACAACAACAACAAAAGAAAAGGCCCAACATATTTATCAAGAAAAGTATTCATACACCGTGACATTTCGAGAAAAGTTCCGCGACTGGTTTTCCCACAAATCATCACTCTGGCTTCCTCGTGAAGTGCATATAATCAACAATTCTCGAGATATGTCATATTATCTACTTAACGTATGGTAATATACTTCATCTAGGTTTAATAATCACAAGTATATTGTGACATGTATGTAAATAAAAGCGATATGACCAATTAAACAATCATGAGAACTACATTTATGTGCTAAACGCAGTGTCCATTGTACGATTCCGATTATATCACAAGCATATGTTTATGAGTCACTATCAGATAGTCATGAAACCAGGTGTTCGCGATAAGGTGGGCGTCATCGTCCCCATCAGTGGCACCCGTCACAAACAC